GCCCCCGGGAAGCCCGCCTCCCACCAGCCGGGTTGGGTGGGCAGCGAGGGGAACGTGGCAGCCAGGGCAGGGGTGACCGAGTGTCTTCGTGGGACAGAGAAAAAGCTGCGCGAGCCCCAGAGCAAGGGCGTGGTCATCGTGGCCGTGACCGTGAGCCTGCTGGTCCTGGCGCTGCTGGGCGCCGTCCTCTGCTTCTTCTACAAGAAGGGCAAGCTGCCCTGTGGGCGGTCGGGCAAACAGGAGATGTGAGCAGTCCCAGCCCTGCCCCCATCGCCTGTCGCACAGCTCTCCGCTTCCCCAGGGCGTCCCCTGCCGACCTGTGTCCGCTCACCCCTAGGAGCAGGAGGGGACGCTGGGTCTGGGTGCTAGTCGCTTCACTGCCACGGCCACGCTCCATCCATCACGCTCTCCCTTCCCTTCATTTCCTGCCTCCCCCGCTAGGCCGGCCCCAAAGCACCATGTCCCACGGTTGTCCCCGGAGATGAAGCCCTTCCCCAGAGCCCCGCCCTTCCCTCGCCCCCTGAGTTGCCAACCTCTCGCCTCCCTTCCTCCCCCCAGAACGCTGCCCCCACCTCATAAAAGCACATTTGTAGTTGAAGTTAAGTCAGATAAGCTCCCCGAAGAGATGGGCCTCCTACAGGGCAGCCGCGCTGACCAGAGGGCGCCTGGAGACCAGGTAGGAGCGGCTGCTGCAGCCGGGGCTGGCGCACAGGGCCCGCGGTCCTCGTCCCCCACACTAACTCTGTCCTCCATCCTGCTGCCGGAGACCGGAGCAGGCCGAATCGCGCCTCCTAACACTACTCACAGGTGGTAGGGCCAGGCCAGTGGCTGAGGGACCTGAACAGGGTGGCTCCCGGCTCTGAGAGCAAAGACCCCTCCCATCGCCGGCACCGTTTCCAAAAGTGCTTGTGGCTCAGGCTGAGCGGTGACCTGCGGGGGGCCCACCTGACCTGGGGCTGAGACCCTCCTGCCCGCCCTGCTGCTGCTGCACCACCGGGCTCCTCCGCTGCTGCTTCCGTGCCTCCTCCCTGCTGTGCTCACCCCCTGCCCGTCTCCGTCTCCACGCTCTCCTCTCCTTCCCCTTTGCAGGGGGAGAGATACATCGATCTGAGGCACTAGCGCGGAGGTGGACGCCTTCCTGCCCACGCGCCCTGCTCGCCCGCCCCGCACTCAGGACGGTCACCAAAGCCTGACCCCCCCACCCCCGTTTTGCAGGGCCAGTGGACTGGCCGGGACCAGGGCGCAGGGCCCTGGCGGCCCCTCCTCAGGACCACACTCTCCATGTGTGGAGTGGCGCTCACCCCAGGCGGCCTTGGTCCAGGAGAGGGGCCAGTTCTGCGGGAACCTCTCTGCTCAGTTATGGACTAAGGCTCCGCCTCCTGCCCACAGCATGGAGTCAGGGGCCTGTTTGTCTCAGGGGACTTCCTTCCCCAGTTGCCTTCCCAGTTCTGCTGTGTGGCTGCAGTTGCCCGTCTGCGGGGTCCCTTTGGTGACCCCCTTCCCTGGGTGGGGCCAGGAGCTGGTGCCATGCCTTCCGATGGACGCTCCTTGTCCCAGCAGTGAGGGCGCCCCTGCTTCCTGGTCAGGCCCTGAGCTGCTCACTCGGCTCCGGGATCACGACTGGAGGGTGAGCGCAGGGGGCAGAGAGGGGGTCTCCGCGGCCCTTTAAGGGGATTAAGATGACAGTGGCCCTAGCACCAAACTCCTATGAGCTGAGCTGACGGCCCTAAAGGGACGCTGGGAAATGGGCCAGAGCTTGGGGTATAATGTGTATGTGTGTGTGTGGTTTTGTTAGGTTGTGTGTAAATTTGCAAATCGTTTCCTTTACACACACACACACACACACACATACACACACACAAATAAAGCTTAGTTGTCCGGGAAACCTTACGTGTTTCATTCACCGTGGGAACCACAGTGCCTGGGCTCCAAATGGACCGCCACCAGGAGGATCCCGCCACGAGCCCGGCAGCAGGCAGGCGGCTCCAGCCCCCAGGGTGACCCCTGCCAAGGGGCAGAGAGCCTGTGGGCCCCGTGGCCTGGCGGAGGCACATGGGCTCAGCTCCCCTACGTGTCAACCCTCCATCCCCACCAAAGACAAGCACTCAGGTCAACTACAACAAAAGAAACTTTATTTAAAAATACTTTACAGACGTAGGTGCTTGAAAAAGCTCTTTAGTTAACTGTATATAAATGAAAAAATTAATAAATAACAGTATAACAGACCTGAACATGAACACACTGGCAAAACAAATGGACTTAAAATAGAAACAAATCTTAAAGCTCTGCTATCCTCTGTAGGAATATTTACCTTCTGTTTTTCTTATTCTTTACAAGTGAGAAGGATTAAATACCACGAATATAAAGTTTCTTATATTAATGACACTTTTAAAATGGCCAACACAGATCTTGCCGACGCTGTCGGTTTAACCGCACGCGGATGCAGAGCACGCTCTCCCTCCCGGAGCTCAGGCCCCCCCCCCCCCCCCCCCCCCCCC